AATGAAGTACCAACTAAGGGGAGATGAGACGACATTGAAAGAAGCCTTTGAAAGAAGCTAGCTAATGTTGTTACTTTGGTAATTCGCATATAAATACACGGAATTCCCTGAACTGAATTAAGGAATCCAGATTTATGATATTTTGAGAACCTTCGTGGTGAGTGTAGTATGTACCTACCAGGTTTCAAGGTGTCCCCCGTCGGGGCAAATGTTAGTATGATGAATAAAAGTAATTGTATGTAGGTATATTTCTAGACAAATATGATTAAATGTATCAGTTTAAATATTTATTCTATGCGTTACCTTAGTATCTCATAACACAAACTCATCCCATAGTAGGAGCCGGAATATGGATCTGGAACTGAATATTTCTGCAAAAAATATTTTAAGTCATGCTGCGCTCACGTTTTCATATTAAATTTTGATGCTTTTCGACTTCTGGGCGCGCTCAAAGAACCCCCGATGAGAATAGTGGATCCCCATCACACCTACTTATGCAGGTGAAGTAGTATACCCAGCATTAATATGGAGTTTGCAACTTTAACGTAATTGATGCTTTAAAAATAGGGTTCGATTGTTACCCCTTAAATATGGAAACCTATACCTTAAATTGTACAGTTTGAATATTACGGCGACTTTTTTTCATATTAGTAACCTTCGTTACTAACGACGCACTCAAATAGGCAGACTATCATTATGTTTTATTTTCACTTTGTATGTACTTAAGCCATCGCACTCTAATATTTCCAAATAAGTATTGTTTTGTTTTACTATAATAGGATAATGACGTGGTAAAGTTATCGAAAATCCATTTCGTCCCTCAGTTAGTATATCAAAAAATAATGGACACTTAATTTTTTTTCTTTTGTCAATCAAAGGCCAGTCACTCCGTACTTTGTCCATTGTTCGTGCAGGGTATGTTTGGCTAGCCAGCCCAGCTCCTTCCAGGGGGGCAGTAGTTTCCTGGGAATTTCACAGGCTTCTAGGAGCGTCATCTGCTTCCTGAGGATTTATGTCCGGTGTTCTGCCACGCTCATACATTTCAGGATCACATGAGCGACCATTTCGTCTGCTTCCAAACAACCTCTGCATAGAGAGCTATCTGTAACACGTATGGTTAGTAAATGCTTGTTAAGTAGGCAGTGCCCTGTTATGGTGCCCAGCATTACTCGGAGATCACTTCGGTTAAGATTTAATAGTTTTTTAGTTAGTCTGGTGAGGCTAGGAAAATTATGGTTGTGTAAACCATTTTGTGATTTTTGGTGCAAGAACCCAGAATATTCAAGTATTCTTTTGCACTGCCAAAATGTGATACAGGCTTTATTTATCTTTTGATTTAAGTGGCTGTTCCATGTCAGCCTGTGGTCAAGAACGATACCTATTAAGATATTTGACCTCGTTTGAAATAGACAGTTCAGTGTTAAATAGCTTGGGTAATTTTACAGCATCCAAGTTACGTTTCTTTGTGAACATGACCATCTCTGTTTTGGTCAGATTCGCCCATAGTTGTGTTAGTATACTTGGTAATATCGGTAGTAATTATCGGTAGTGTTAAAAGAAATTTGCAGCTTTGAAAACCTGTGCTAACTGTGTGGTGCCCCAAAAACAATCGAATTTTTCGGTCATTTTACGGATTCTCGCTTATAACGCTTGAAAATTCATCCTATATGTAAAGTCATTTTTAAAATTTTATAGAAAACAAAATTCTCAACATTACGTATGTCACTTTAACTCTGTAGGAAACTTGGACAGCAGCGGCACAAAGTACGTAACGATAACTAAAAATCAGTACACATTTGACAATGACATTTAGGACTCGCAAACGATACGAATTCGATATTGGTTCGTGCTAGGGGTACCGGAAGTTTCACGAATGCTTGTCGATAAATCAAACCAATAAATTGATTTTTAACTTTAAGAGTCTATACGATTTATTTGATTATTGAATATTTAATAATAGATACACACAGGAATAACAGCCACAATAACATTGTGACCATCATTCCAAAATGAATTCAGCTTGGCTGATAAAATAGGTATCAGTGGAGTGAAGATATGAATATTTTGGAAGGCTGAGGCATAATCCTCCTTGCTTTTCTTGTCAGAGATCCTTACATGTTTTGATATAGGTACTAACAAAACAAGGTTGTAAATTTTTGGTAATGACCGACCACTACGATAACTGCTTAACTTCAACGATTGCAGCCGAACGCGCTCAACACCTGCGCTATCGAAGCTCCTCTCTAACATGAATAGCATACTTTATTAGAAATGATAAAGAGTATTCTCGCAATATACTTTACCTCGTGAAAAATACGTAATATTATAGATTTGTGATAAATTTTGTACAATGCGGCATTGTTGACACATGAAATATATATTCTCACTTTACCCTTTACGACTTCAAGATGAGCTTTCATTTTTCAGACAGTAACTCTTTTATCCTTAAAATTTATTTCTTCTCCAATCCTTCCCTTTACCCTTAAAATTTATTTCATCCAATTTTTGCGCAAGAATCTGTACTGCTACGCACGATTTTTATAATAATGGAATGGACCTTGTAACTTACAGACATATTGTGTGAAAAACAGAGCTATACGTACAATATAAATGGGATTACGTTTTACCCACCGTAAGTTCCTGGAATCCACTAGGAAATTTGTTGTAATCCTCTTTTCATAAAATTAAATAAACCACATATTTTACGAACTTATACCGACATTTTGCCCAATAATGTTGCTCACAGCCAGAACCGACTTACTGGCAAAATCACCTATTCCTCGTATAATTACTGTAATAAATAGAGTACATGAAGATATTGATATATTCTATGTAGATTGCGTGAATTCGAAGTCTTAACATTGAAAAGGTTTTTCTATAGAAATTATTTATATAAGTATTTTTATTAGTTTAACTTTAAATAATTTTAGTATATACACAAACATATTTAATATTATGTTGATGAAGTAATAATGGAATAAATAAATTATTATGTCCATCCATCCATCCATCAGCCTTTCTCCGTCCACTGCTGGACATAGGACTCCCCCATAGAACGCCACAATGCGCGGTCCTGCGCTATCCGCATCCAGTGGCTCCCAGCATATTTGACGATGTCGTCAGTCCACCTTGTTGGGGGCCGCCCCACGCTGCGTCGTCCGGTACGTGGTCGCCACTCGAGGACCTTTCTTACCCAACGGTTGTCAGATCCTCGAGCGATGTGGCCTGCCCATTGCCATTTCAGCGTGCTAACTCTTCGGGCTATGTCGTACACACCGGTCCTTCTACGGATCTCCGTATTTCGGATCTTATCACGTAGGGAAACACCGAGCATAGCCCTCTCCATAGCACGCTGCGCGACTCTGAGTTTTGTTATGAGGCCGACATTCAGAGACCACGTCTCAGTCCCATAAGTCATCACTGGTAACACACACTGGTCATAGACCCTTCTTTTCAGGCACTGGGGAATTTTGGCCGTGAGGATGTGCCTAAGCTTCCCGAACGCTGCCCATCCGAGTTGGATTCGTCGGTTGACCTCTTTCTCGAAGTTGCATTTGCCCAACTGGACTGTTTGTCCTAGGTAGACATCATGATCGACAACATCGAGAATCGCATTCCCAACAGATACTGGTGCTGGAGTGACATGGACATTGAACATGACCTTGGTTTTATCCATGTTCATCCTTAAACCAACTCGTTGGGAAACTCTGCTGAGGTCATTGAGCATTGTGCCAAGGTCCTCCAGGGATTCTGCTATAACCACGATGTCATCTGCAAATCGAAGGTGAGAGATGTATTCGCCGTTGATGTTGATGCCGAGTCCGGTCCAATCCAGAAGCTTGAAGACGTCTTCCAATGCAGCGGTGAACAGTTTCGGGGAAATCACGTCCCCCTGTCTGACACCCTTCTGCAATGGAATCGGTTTCGTACTTCTCTCCTGGATTCGGACTGACATAGTGGCGTTTCTATACAAACACTTCAACACTTCGATATATCGATAGTCAATTTGGCATCGCTGGAGGGACTGCAGCACCGCCCAAGTCTCGACCGAATCGAAGGCCTTCTCATAGTCCACATACGCTAGACACAGAGGCCGATTATACTCCTCAGTCTTCTGTATGATCTGACGCAGCGTATGTATGTGGTCCATGGTACTAAAGCCCTTTCGAAAACCGGCTTGTTCGGGAGGCTGGAAGTCGTCGAACCTGCGCGAAAGTCGATTTGTAATTACTCTCGAAAACAACTTATAGACGTGGCTCAAGAGCGAGATAGGTCGATAGTTCTTCAAGCGGGTTTTATCGCCTTTCTTGAAAAACAGCACCACCACGCTCCTGGTCCACGCCTCTGGAACAATGCCCCCGAGGATGACAGAGTCGAATAGCTTCTGAAGGACCACGAGGACCGGCTTGCCGCCCGCCTTCAGAAGCTCCGTAGTGATTCCGTCATCGCCCGGTGCTTTACTGTTTTTAAGCTGCTTGAGAGCCATTCTGATCTCGTACAGGCTGACATCCGGGATGTCCTCGGTATAGTGTCGGGTTAGCTTGGATCGTGGATCTTGGACCAAGCCGACAACAGGAGTTTGGGATGTTTTGTACAACTGTCCATAGAACAGCTCGACTTCACTTAAGATCTCATCATTGGAAGTAATGACAGTGCCGTTGTCGGTCTTCAGTCTGGTTAACTGACTCTGCCCAACAGACAGATCTTTTGCGAACACTTTGGAGCCTTGGTTCCGCTCTCTCTCTTTAATACGCTTTATTATGTAATAATAATATATCAATACTGTAATAGTAATAACATAAGATACATTGTCGCATTGGGCTATAATATCCGTAATGGCAATTGTAAGTAAATAAAAAAAAAACATAACGGCAGCGGCGCGGCGAAGACAATCTGTGCAAAAATTTCTTAGTTACCGCAATCATAGACCCAATCGCTTTAAATTGTTTTTTTTATTATCGCTTTTTTGACTTTGACTAACTAGTATTTTTTTATTACAGGTGATTTAATGGACATGTTGGCGTTGTTCACATCGTCTGTTAATTTCGTGCTGTACTGCAGTATGAGCAGACAATTTCGGTGTACGTTCGCGAGGCTGGCGCGACGGATGCTGTCGGCTGCGGAAGAGCCAGCCAAACTAGCGACCAAGATGGAGCCCACAACGCAGGTATCAATGAACGGCTTACTTGTGAGAGTGGCTAAAAGTATTAAGGTTACCGCTACAGCTACTAAAAGTAGATATTTAGTGCCTTGCTGCCATATTTCATACATTAAATACGTTTTGGAAAACATATTTTAACAACTTCACTGAAATCTGATAGCTACATTTAAAATGACAAATAATCTTGCAAATTGGCTATTACAAATTTCTGATACTAAGCAACTAAAGCCAAGCCATTTTTAAGCCTCTAGAGTGTGTAGTTTGTTTGTCTAAAAATCTCCTTGCAAGACTAGGAAGCCAATCAAATAAAAAAATGCGGCTTTCCACCACGCTGAAAATTTACATCGTTTCAATACATTTATTAGATCCTAAATGCATGTAATCCGAGTTTGCGCAATTCCAGCAGGTTGTAACTTTTGGGAGCCAAACAAAGAGGATTAAATTCTGCGTCGAATGAGTTATTCTTCGAATGAGAATTCTTCAAACTTGGTTCAGTGGTACAGCCGAAATCAAAAGTTAAAAATCGTAAGGTAGGCTTTCGAGCTACAAGCAAAAAAATCAAAGAAGGGTAAAAAACTGAAAGTAAATTTAGTCTTACTTACTTAGCCTATAGTTACTGTACAATTTAATGAAATATAGAATTCACAATTTGTAATCGTTACTGAATTTGTAATCGTAAATAAAACTAAATTTATTTAAAAATACGTGTTATGTTTTTCTACTATTTAAATAAAAAAGCTTAAGCTTTTTAATTTTTATCAAGGGGCAAAATAGAATTCATTAAGATTGTTAACTTAACAATTATTCAACTTTTACTTAGGTAATCTAAAATCATTTTATTTTTAATTGCAGTCATACTACAACGCAAAATAATTTACTATTAACTTTAATATAAAAGCTCGGTCAATTTCAACCTGTCTTGAGAAAAAGCACCACTAGCCATCCTTCAACTGTACCAGTCTAAAAAATGCGTTGAAATGTCAGTTATTAGTGATACATTTGATTATGAAATTGTACTTACAGTAGGTATATTATAGACTTATTTTTATAAATTTGCTCCTTTGATTAATACGGTTTCTTTCACAAGCAATTAGTATCAACTGTATCGAGGGAATGAAAATGCGACGACTTAAGTCGAAGATTTTTATTCCCAATAACATTATCTATCGTTCTTTAATATTTTACCAGAAACCGTGGAATTCCTATTGTAAATGGTGTTATTTTTTTAAATGAAAAATTGGAGATGACTAGCTAAAAAAACTAGTAGATTGTATGGTAGATACAGTTAAAAGCCGCAGGGTGGAGGCACGTCGCAATCGACGATGTAACTAGTGCAATTATGGTACAGTTTATTTTATTTTTACATTGGTAGGAACGCTGTTCTCAAATTGAAACTGAACTGAACATTGTACAATGAACATTTTTTATATAAATTATTATCATAGTACGTGTTGGTTGTAATTGTAATTAGAATGTAATATAGGAGAACAATGCATGCCATGTGGACTATGCATGTGTATAAAGAGAAACCAAAATTTTCATCTCGCCGACCTCTGTGCCGTAGAACGACGAGACGGGCGTTTTATTACCAACTTCTATAGTGTAAGGTACATTATCACCATGACTTGTCGCGTTGTAATGTGGCCGCGCCCTTCAGCTTTAGCTTTATAATACAGTCAATGACATGTAAATTGTTATTTGAAATTGACAACGCCTTTATAAAATGCTTTTAACCTAATTCAAAGGAGGTGCGGTTTGGTAAACTGTTTTATATTTAGTTTATAGTATTCTTATTAATGAGCTAACGAATAACACCTTGAATGGTTTTACACCTTATTCATATTTGTAAAAGCAATAATTACAGCAGCATCAGCATCCTATCCTATCATATATCCTCTACAATTTTCGTCGTAGTTAAGCTCAAATCCATCGAGATGAATGTTTTTTTTCTATGTAATGAAGTAATCCTCACGTTTTTAATAAAACACTAGTCTTCATACATATATATATAAATAAAGTTTCGACAAAATAAATAAGTCAATGCGGACGAGTGCTTAAAAATAAATAGGTCAAATGGGGACGAGTCCTTAAAAAACCCGGCCAAGTGAGTCTTAGTGGCGCATGAAATGTTCCGTGCCATTATAAATACAGGGTGTAAAAAAACCTATGACAAAGTCTAAAACTACGCATTCTGTACACCCAAACAAGTAATATTACAAAATATAATACGCGGCAATCATTTGTATTATTAAGTAAAAGAAAATACAAAAAAAAACCAGTACGCAATGTATAGACCGCCGCGCTACTGTGGCGCTACGCAAAGAATTTGCTTGTGTGTATGTGTGTGCTGTTTGTAAGTGCGTCGATAAAAAAGTTTCTAAATAACGTTTTGAAAACATTAATGGAAAAATCTCATAAAAAATGTGACTTTGACCTTCAATATCTCCGTAACCATAAATTTTCTAGGTATGGTCCAGAAGAAAAAAATGATCATCATGATGTGGAAAATACGTGGCCTTCGACTTCGTTAAAGGATATTTTACACCCTGGATAACATTCGACACTTTGTCCCTTTATTATAATATCGGGCAAAAATCACGTCTGTTGTATGGGCGATCGCAACTAACCGCGAAAGGAATTTCTTTAATTTGGTTGTTTTCGTCACAACTTACAAAGTACATTTTGAATCAGCGTTTGCCATATTTGTTATTTAAATACAGCATAATTGTACATCATAATATGTCAAAATTTCACACCCTTAACTAGTGTAGATTCTGAGACAGAACCCCGTAAAAAAAATGCTCTAAAAATTACCATCCATATATTTTTTATTGAAACAAAATAAAAACAACGATCTCTAAACAATGCCGTGTCAAAGGCTGACGTAAAAAAAATATGTATTTTTAACTATTCTTTGCTTTAGCCTTGATCATCAATCTATACATAATATCAAAATATCAGTCTGTAAATCATTCTGTTTTCAATCTAAAGACCTGTGACATACGGATAGGCCGACAACAGAGTGACAGCGATAGGGTTTTTACCCTTGTAAGGAACTCTAAAGATCACCCTCCTATTCAGCGATGGTATTATTTATTTCCACATTCATAGCTCTTTGCCCTTTATCTGACCGATAAATATGAAAGTAAATGAAAGTTCGTTTCCAGCCCCGTTATTATACTGTTGAGTAAGTTCAATAGTAAGTTCATACGAACGTTATTTGTCTAAAAAACCGTATAATGTACTCGGAACTGTGTATTAATGTAATGACCATTTTATTCTCTGAATAGAAATATGATAAATATTTTAATTATCCCTTGTCACTGTTGCCCGTATTCAGTGTAGCATGCGTGATAATTATAAGGAAAAAGGATCTCTATGGGTTTTTCTGGTTTTCTCTCGCTTTTTATTGTTGTGAATCATCATTATACAAGAAAGATAGATCACAGCGGATTTTGCGCTCAAATTGAAGAGTACGTCTCGAGAAGTCCTTATACCACACAATAGACTGCAATCAAGCTACATTATTCCACTAAATAAGGGAAGGCGGGAGTCAAGGTGAACAATTTAGGATGATAATAAAATGGTGCTTACTTTTTAGAAATATAATTTCGCCATTTTTCCTGTATAGTTTGTTGGGTTTGTCGCTCTTTTTATGTCCCGTTTTTCAGTTTCATTTCTTTTTACAGGGTCTATCTTATCTTGTATCGCAGAACTTTTAACCTAACATAATATTATTATTCTTAAACGGACATATATTATTGACATCAACTTCAATTCGCAGAATATCATTTGGCATTCAATGGTTTAGTAGACATTTAAAAAGCATAAATTTGTAAGCAATATCCACAATAATTCAATAGATGAACCACCATATCACAGAAAGCTAACAGTCAAAATTGTCTTTTGGCATACAAATAATTAACTTTCATTGTTTAATTTATCTAATAATCAAGTGGTTGGAGCCTTGCCGGCTGCTGCTGCGGCACGCTCGCTTCTTTGGCTCGGCTCGCGCTAAGTTTATGCTTAACGAAGTTTAGCCACAAATAGCGATTATGCTTAACGAAGTTAGGCAGAATAAAAATTTGTCAAAGATAATTATGCCTAATAAAATTCTTCCAACTTAACAGTACGCCATTATGAATGCGAAAATATTAACGTTCGGCCAAACAATAATTGTATTTACAAAAAAAAGATGCTGGGTCCAACGAATGAATGCGTTCTTTGAAGCAAGGAGGCTCGAGATAATTCAGTTTTTTGGTCACCCATCCAATGAACGACAAATGCGAAAGTTGCTTACTTTCAACGATTCAATACCTTTACGTTACTATCAATATACGGAGACGCTACAGAAAAATATGTTGCTGCCCAAAAGAGCCTACCAGAGCATTAACAAGCTCCTATTTCAGTGAACATCGCGATAATTTTATATGGCAGCTATACAACTTTCTCAGGTTACTTCATATGAAGTCGGAAATCCGTTGGCCTCACTTAGAGGAAACTTCGCTCGAGTCTTCTTAAAGATTAATGTACTGTAAATATCTACCGATATTTCTGAAAAGGATGCGAAACGTCAATAAATAAATAAATTCAGTATATCTAACACGTAAAAACTAGTTTCATTTAATGCGTGATGTGCGTGAAAACCTAAGAAACAAATGTCTACCGATTTTTTTATTTGTACATATATACTATCTCGTATATAATAGGTAAATGAATATGTTAATGTTTTTAGGGTTTCGTACCCAAAGGGTGAAACTGGACTATTACTTAGACTCTACTGTCCGTCTATCTGTTACCGGGCTGTATCTCTTAAATCATGAACCCTAATATATAGGTTGTTGTATGTACAGACAGTTGTAATTTTCACACATGATGTATTTTTGTTGCCACTGTAACAACACATACTAAAAACCGCCCAAGTGCGTTGTGCCACGCGCAAGTGTAGGGTTCCGTAGTTGCCCGTCGATATCATAAAATCAGATGTAGGTAGTTTCAAGTGCTCC